CGTCGTCGTCTGCTGTCTGTCTGGAGAGAGCTGGGGTAAAGCCCGGGGAGCTGTGCTGAATATTGGAGCTGGCTGCAGCAGAGACGACCGGGTGTGTTCCAGTTGAATTCTCTGAGAGGCGGAGTGATGCAACATGACTCTAATTAATGGCTGAGTGGCCCTAGTAAAATTGATATTTTCTTGCTTCATGCCAGTTGGGAATGGGATCATAAACAACTTCTATACGCGTGTTGTATGATTGTTGTGATACAACGCGATTGTTGTATTGTTGTTGTAATGGCTAGATGCTCTTTGACAGGGCCAATTAATCGGTTTACGAAGCCTAAACCTCCGTCTGATGCGTGTTTTTACGTCAAAATGGCGACTGAGCTGACTATTGGTATAGTCACTACTCACTGACGTGTAGCCATTTGTGATATTATGCCCACATGACCAGAGTGCACTCGACAGTTCGGTGGACGGCCGCGTCGTCTGGCGTCGCTGGGTCACGCACGTGTGATCGGTCACGCTCCATCGGATAGGTCACGCACTCGTCCGACGCTGCGCCCGGGTGGTCGATTTGTCGCGAACGCGGCGCGCTCGGCACGTCTGCAAGATAGAAATCGGCGGCGTATCTGTCCCTGGGGCGAGCCCTGAGGCGGCGGACGTCGACCGGGCTCTGCCGAGGATCCGCTCTCTCTTGGCTCGACGGGAGGTAGTCTGAGTTTATGGCTGCTCTCTTGGCTGGTGACGTGTGTGCGGAGCCGTATAGCAGCTAACGGCGAAAGTTGCGCTTCGAAGGGCCGACAGCCAGACAATGGTCCTGTCATTGGAAGTTTCCAGTCCAGCCGCGACGAAAATTTGTCGATGGCTGTCGAGATTTAGTTTCAATCAGGAAGGAGTCAGGAGGCGTCTTTAAGGAGACATGTTCGTAGTTAGCTTTCCTTTTTGCATGAGAGGCTCTCAAACTTAGATAAACGGGCTTACGCAATCCCAGTTTTGTTGAAGAGCTGTTATAGCTGAATTCACTTGGCAAAAACTGAAGGGCTAATGAAGCAATGAACATATGCCGTTCGGTCCTTTTTGTTTCCTAGTCTTTGTTATTCCCCAAAGTAAATAAGAATAAGTTACATCCCTTTCTCGTTATCACTGACCAAAACAAGATTTGGACATGAACACTAAGCGCTTGAACAGTATTGTGTGCTGAGTGCGCAGCAGCTGTCCTTGCAAATGCAATCAGGCCCAGGATGGAGCCAATTGTATGCAATGAAGTTGCCAATGATGCAGCGCGCTGCGACCGTCTGCCAACTGACGCAAGGTGACGTTAAAATCGTCCATGCTACGGGTCATGTCGTCACACCTCATCGCTGATTGGTGGTGTCAGGACAACGTCATGGGTGTGGAAACAGCGGCCGAAGGCGGAACAGAAGGGGCGGCCTACCTGTCAGAAGTGCTCCGAGACGAGCCTGAGCCTCGACCAGCCAGGAGCTGCCAGATTTGTGACGTCACATTGACGTAATGTGGCCTATCTACACCTGGGTAGGCTCTGTCGGCAGTCTGCGGTCTGCGCATCAGTCTGTCCCGAATTAGATGGTTTATTTAGGCGTGCAGGCGATAAACTGCATCACGTTTGGTGGGGCTGCGCCAATCCAAAATCCGCCCATGAGCCCTGACCGAAGCGCCCGCTACCACTGATCTGAAATAAAAAGCGCTTTTCGAAGGTGGCTTCTAATTCTGTTTCGTCAGGCCCTGTCCATTTCTTGGCAGATGTATTTTAACTGATGATATGTTCCTCATTGCTGACATATTATCAACTGACATCTGTCTGAAGTTTCCAGACTACCGTGACCGTTCTCGACATTTTTGACATTTAATTAATAACGCTGTGACGTTTCTGGCGATATTGGGACACATGTGACGCGCCGTGACGTTGCGGTATGCGCTCCTTCGCGCAGCATTTTGTGACGTGCGCCACTTCTGGCGTGAAAAGCGGACCACTGCTAACGAGCCGATGACCAGTGAACTGTGTCGGACAAATACCGCGGGCGTCAGCACTCTCTGAGAGAAGTTGAACGGCGACGGTCAGAAGCGTAGAAAAAATCGGTGCGACACCAAATAATTTTTAATCTAACAATCTTCGAATACGTGTTTCAAAAAGGAAAGCAAGTTTTCTGCTTTTCCAGCTCCCACTTGCATTTCTTTGGAAATATCGCACATTGGAAATAAAGCGTAGATTTTCATGCCTTTGCCTTTTCATGCCTTTTCATGCCTTTTTTGCAGTTTTTACTAACGTTTTGCTTACTTTAAACTATATCATTATGTGGTCCCTTACAAACTGCCAGTATTAACTTGTGAAAATGTGGCTTCTTGATAGGCGATAGCTATCATTTTATTGCGCAGATCGATTGTTACCTAAGGCATTTAAGCTTTGTAGTGTGTCCAGTATTCCACTCAGGTATGCTGGCCAATAAATTGATGGCGGTCGCCGTGTGCACTGTGCACTGTGTGCGTGAGTTACTGCTGCGTGCCGGTGCAGCGTGTGCCGCGTGAAACACCGCCCGTGGCCGCCGTCACGCGCTGCGGGGGTGCCCACTCGTCTGCTGAACCCACGTGTCTGTGTGGTGACCTGACCGGCGGCACCGCTGGTCTGACCACGTGACCAGACCAGCCGAACTGGGCCGGGCTGGGCCACCGGTACAGCCGACTCCCTCGGCGATAACGGTGGTGTAGGATTCTGCAATAGACGATTCCGCCTAAATTTATCTCCTCTCCTTGCAGAGGCGACCCCATTTATAGTGCCGAGGACTTTCGTTCTTCCCTGTCTAAATTTGTGTAGGAATCCCTGCTTGCCCTAGCTCGATTGCGACTTTTAATAAGTGTTTATTGCTGTGCAGTGTGAGCAGTGTGGAAACGCTTGGGCCGTTTTTGTTTTGGTCGTCGTCTTTGATTGATCCAGGAGACCTTTTTTCAGTGATTGCTTTTCTTTGATTACTACGTTTTGACTTGTTGGGTGGTCCTTGAGAAGTGCGATTGAGTGCTATCGAACAACTTGTCGGTATTGTAATATCGCGATAAGCTTTTCTGTCTGTTACGTAATCTGAATGAAGGAATGAATGACTTATCTGATGCTGAATGAATGAAAACTTACCTTCGCCAGTTACGCAACATTCTTTAACAAGTCGTTATTGGATCCGAATATGCGGCTCCACAGGAAAGTCGTCAATGGATCCGAATCCACGCGTAGGTGTGGATTGTGGATCTCGTAATGCGTAGTTAACTATCGTTGCACGTCAGGATGTGACGTAAAAAAGCTGTGTTAAAAGAGAGATTGATTTCCGACAAATAAATAAGATACGATCATACGCGGTAAGAAGGACAGATGATAATTGTCACTTCACAATACGTGCTTTTACGTCTTTGCTGGTCCGTCCTGCCGTCCTGGCCTCCACGATCTACGCGACAATATACGCCACGTGCCGTTTATTTTCCTATACCGGTGACAATCCCCCACATAACGGTGTCATACCGGTGCAACAATTCATTTGTCCTTCGGTCCACCACTGAACGAGTTGACGTGCGATCGTTGCTGACTCAGGTCTCTGGGACCGCACACAATAGTTGAGGCCGTTACAACACACTGTTCTGGCTTTCACAGCCTGCCTTTAGTTACTTCTGGCTTATGGGATTTCTTGGGAACGGGTCGCTTATGCTGTCACGTCTGAGTGACAACCGCCTTTAGAGAAAAGTCGGCGTTTTTTTTCTGTGAAGGTACGTTTTTTATCGTAGTTTTCTTCCAACTAAAGATGTTTTAAGATGACATCTTTTTCGAACGGCTAACCATTCATCTAAACGGCTCAGCCTTACACGGCACCTTTCGTCCTTTTTGGTCTTGAAAAAGGTGCATATGTAATCGCGTTCTTCTGAATCAGGGCTGTCTATCATGTTTTATGGTGTTCCGTGAAAAAAGCAATAATAACGAGGCATAAAAACTTAAAGAAGGTAAGAATAGCCTCCACATCATGGTAATTTACATCAGTCTGAGTTGAGCATATTTAAATCGCCCAACAATCAGCCGAAATGTCATCTCACAAAAAATGACTCATTTGACCGAGGTCAAAGAGATGACCTCTGTTTGTTCCGCGAGTCTCTCTATCGCGGTATGCACCCTCCCCCTGTTTCGGAATGATCCAACGTGTATTGTATTGTATTGAACAATCATGAGCGATCCACATTCTAAAAGTGCGTGGCGATTACTGCTCAGAATCCGTATGTCTATATGATCCACTGATTCAGCTTACCCGGCGCATTGGACCAGCTGGGAATATATTGGTCTGAACAGCGGACTGCATGCCCAACCCTGACCTTCTCTGGGCCTGGAGAGCAGGCCAATCGATTCCAGCTGGTGAATGGCTGCGGCGAATTCAGAGCGACGGGTGCGGCCAATTCCACGTCCCGGGCGGGATTTGCACACACTAGGCCGGGCTTGGACAGTCGAGGTGTCCAGAAATTCATTCTGGTTCAATCGATTCTGCATCCTGCCATACGAATGCCTATTGCCTGAGAACCTCCTGAGCTACATATTTCTTATAAATAAATAAAAGATGGCACATTTTAAAGAGTTATAACATTTGGTCCTAAACTATGATGCAAGATTTTACGAAACTGACTAACCGGTCAGAATTTCTCTGTCATAATTTGACATTTGGGAGCATATGTAATGCAGTTTCCATTATCTGCCTTACTGTTCAACTCAGCCCAATGTATTATGTATGTGTTGTGTGCGTCAGTGTTGTGAACTGCTTTACATTTCGCCCGCTTGATGAAAGTTGCACGATGCTGTGCCTGACGTGTTTTTCTCTGCGTCTACGGCATTGAACATAAACCAGTGCGTGCGCCTGACTTGTTTTTCTTTGCGTCGTTAGGATCAAGCGTATTCTCATTTCTCAGTGCCAACTTATTTGCCTTGCTTCCACAAAATGTACCTTACTCTCAGCGTTGACTATTTCACTTTGCGTTCACAGGACCAGACGTACCCGACCCACCACGTTATCCAGCCGGAGGTACCGCCTGGATCCTTCACACGACGGCTCTCCATCAGAAAATCGCGCAAAAAACGCAAGGTAGGTCGGCCAGTCTGCCGCACACATCCACTCTAGAGCTTTGGTATCGGTGGTTTCGATTGAATTTGATGGTCATGAGTCCAGGGTTGTATACGACTCAATCAATAGCAATCAATTCAATCACGACAAATTTGGGAAACCAATCAAATCAATCAAGTCAAAGCAGCTTTTGGGAATTGATTCAATCGACTCAAACGCGACAATGAAAGGAATCAATCAACTCAATCAAACGACTCAAACCAAGATATACATTAGGTTTTTTGCCCCACCAACTTGGAAAAGTGTCCATAGCAGTCTGGTGTACCTACCTACCTACCTACCTACAGAAGAAACAAAAATATTGTCATTTAAAATTATAAATTGCCATGCCATTCAAAGTTTCTATGTAATAAGGAAGGATACCTAGTGATGGACAGGTGGATCATGATATTGAGGTTCAATGGGTAGAATTGGAGCAGAAGTTTCATTTAATGGGTGCAAAATAACCCAGTAGTTGACTTCAACAAACGCCCCTTAACCCAAATCACCACCTTTCACCTAAAAGTTGTCAATTTAATTTTGACCATATTCCAGCTAAGTCATCAGGCCATCTACCCCATGTAAAGCCCCAGTCTGTCTCTTATGTGAGTTATGCGGAGCTCTTCTGAATTGAACCCTGAACATAATGAAACTAGCTAGGTTACATGCCACACTGACACCATATTGATATGAAAGCGTTGAAAATGTGCTACAAATTTGACAACTTCATTAGGTATGCTTTATGAAGACAGCAGGAAAGCAGGTAGGTACCTACTTACCTGCCTAGATGTGTCACTGGCTACCAACAGTACCAACGAAGGTAGATAGGTTAGTTATATGTGAAGAATTCAAAACATTTTATTTCAATACAATTTGAAACTGTTAGGACTGGGGGATAGGGATGAGCATTAAAAATATTAAAAGGAAATGGAAAGGACAGGGACTCTGGAACCACAGGATAAGTTAACCCGCGCCCCACTGGGGTCTGTGTATAACACGCCCTACTGGGGGGGGGGGGGGGGCTATTCATAGCCCCCCCTCCTAACTCCGAAACTACTGGGCCGATCGTCAAAATTCAAACGGCGTCTGATAGCCCCGGAAAAACTGTCGAGCGAAACCTAATTTCATTGACCTCGAGGTCACCGATGACGTCACAGGTCAGGTCAAAGTAAAAATTATTAGCACTTTGGCTTGTTCACATTTTGGGCTCTGGCCGCCGTCTTACAAGTCAGATCAGGCTCATTTTTGGTTTCCACACTCGTGAACAGATGCTCTAGATACCTTGAGGGTACCAAACTTGTACTTTGATTTTCAGGTCAGGGTCAGGTCATCACAGGTCACGAAAATATTATATCATGCGTCGGTCACGTGACACATGTTTTATGGTCCATTTAGGCCATAGATTTCGAATTTGATGTCGTCTATGTCATTCGAGGTCATTTTGAGTCGAATTTAGCTTAGGTCAGGTCACTTTCAGGTCAAAAAAGGTCAAATTTTGAAGTTGAAATTTTTCAACAAAAAAGGTGTCTATTGGATGCAGTTTGAGCTCAGGAACACGATGGTGCCATTTATATTGGTGTACGATGCCAAATACGTACTAAAAAATTGGTTTGAAAAATTAATAATTGTGAATTTTTTGCAATAATGCGTATAACTTGGCCATTTTTGAAGATATTTAGCTAAAACTTGCTAGAGTTAGTCATAATCATGCGTTCTGTCACATATATTCCGATTTTTTCGAAAAGTCAAAAACCTTTTGAAAAAAATATAAAAATATAAATTTTGAATATTATTATATAAAATTTTCGAAATTTTCAAAATTTTGAAAATCCGAGATGGCAGTTTGATAGCGCGATCAATTCTGAGTTCTTTCATGCAAAGAAATTGGATCTAGCTTAAAAACTGAGCTCTTGGGAGCGATTGCCGTGGTTCAATGTTTTGCGTCGAAATCGGACGAACATGACGTCACTCTGACGTCATTTCCGGCCGACCTATGGTAGCTACGAAGTTCAAATTTTGACACAAGGTGTCAAATTGATGCAGCCGAAGGTACTGAAAGTTTGGCGTCGATCCGTCAAGCGGTTTGGAAGTTATTGCAGAAAAACGGGAGGGGGGGGGGCTATAAATAGCCCCCCCCCCAGTGGGGCGCGGGTTAAGGACAAAGGTAGAAGAACAAGGAAAATTAAATGCCGTTGGTGCGACTGCGAAAAACAAAGAAAACGTTTTGCCAAGAAGTATGCTAAGCTTTTATAAATCCTTATCTACGTCTTTTGATTTTTTGGTAAGATGACGTCATTGGTTATCATGTACCTACTGTAGTATGGTAGATCGTCATAAAATAAATCGGTTGTACAACACCAATTTCGTTTTAATTATTATTTCATTTGAAATAAAACCACTTAATAATATTCGGTAAAATATTTTAAGGAAAATGAAATATATTAAATATGTTATGCCTAGGCTCTCAGGAAAAAAGGATCAACAAACGTTCTGCTGCAAATTAAACAATGCAGCAAATTAGCTATTAATGTAAACGTAATTAGCGAAACGAAAACGGCGCTTTTGTTTCAGTTATTTTTGTGGGGGTTATTTATAGAGTTCAGTGGGTTGTTTCTGAGGAGATGTGGAGATGTGAATTAGTAATTAATCACACTTTATTAGTATATAGGGACTTGCACTTTATCATCTGGATTAAAAAAAAAGTTTCCTGCTGAGTGCAGAAAGGTAGGTAGGTGCATCGCCAGGTTCTATCACAGAATTGGAGCAGTTATTGCAGTTGAAAGTCAAAGTTGGCTGTTCATGTTTAGGCCCTGTTCTTTATTTGGCCATCTACCCCATATTGCAGTTATGATGACAAGCAGTTTTCAGTGTAGTTTTGTGATCTTTGATGTCATCAATTGGTGTCATTATTTTTTCGTCAACTAAAACTTATTTCAACTTTCCATTCAATCGACTCAATCATACGACTCACTCTAATTTTCGGGAATCAAATCAGTCAACCAGTCGCTAAAGTCAAACGAGTCAGTCAACTAGTCATCTCGAAAAGTCAATCGACTCAATCCAATCAACTCAAAATACGCGTTGAATCAAATCAATCAATTCAATCGACTTGATTGGTATACAACCCTGGTCATGACATCCAGAACCCTGTTCAAATGCAGTTTAGCTGAAATGCAGCGGAACAACGTAATTGGTAGGTACTGTCTGTTGTCTAGTGCAAGCAATGTTTAAGCTTGCGATGACTCAGGCGAGACCTTAAGTTGAGTTTTGCTCAGTCCCGTAAATGAAACTGTGGACCTTTGACCAGAAAGCTATCATTCCATTTGTGGAGTGGGCATTATCTGAAGCACGCGTGTTTACCTATTACTAATACCGATTAGAACCATGTGCAGACTTTTCAGCCGTCTCCTAGCTGAGTATCCTCTGACCCCGAGGTCACTTTAGGGTCCATTGGCGACCCCGAGTACGTCCCCACTTCAGCAGGCCACTCCGCCTCACAGAGCAGTATCGTGTACCGTGATGATAGTCGCATGTCGTCCACCTGCTTTTAACACGGCTCGTTAATGAGGGTCATCATGGCGAGCTGGTAGACACGCTGCAGAAACAACTTCATCACATTTGGACAAGAAATTAGACACGGTGCACCAACAGCTTCATCACATTTAGGCTGCAATGCCATCCTCGTGTGAAGTGCTTCAAAGGCTCGGACACAGCTCTGAATAAAAATATAGTATTATGCTGTTAAGACTTAAGACTTAAGACTGTAGTTTTATGTATAGTGTAATCCGTGTGCCGTGCTGAACTGCTGAAAAATATCAAATTCTTGCGCTGGGCGCGCAGCAGGCCGGCACTTTGTGCAAAACATCCCGCTATGAGTCAACATGGCGATTATGTTTCAGTGTAGCTGTCGAGTTGGTTACCTCTTACCAGTGCGTGATTCATAGTCAGCCTGTTTCAGCTCTGAACGTCGATTTAGTTGCGGTCGACTGTGACTAAGTATGATATTAGTTAGATCATGCTATCGCTCGTTACGGAATGTCCAGCTGTATTGGGGTAGGCTGGACTGAAGAGACGATAAAACCGGAAAAATATGTAACTCTACTCAGGCCTCAGGGTATAGGTTGAATTAGACTCTACTCTCTGAACAGCGATAGGCAGCTCCGGACGGGTTCGACAGCAAGGGGGCGAGCTTTGAAGCGAACCTTCTTCAGCACTGCCCGAATTATGGAAGTTCTTTTTATGACGCAAATGAAATTAAGCGACCATTTTTAAGGATCGTCTCCTTTAAATTGTCCGTAGCGCAGGCTTGATACAAGCTTAGTTTTATGTTGAAAGCGAGACCCTATCAGGAGCAGCCGAAACTACGAAAGTTAATCCTCCAAAGAAGATGCAGAGTAGAGTTGCAAAATTTCCCCCAAAGGCTGCTACCGGCACCGCCCCGCCCCACAAAAATTTTCTGGGATACCGGCATGCTACCACGACCCAAGCAAAAACACCACCAAATTACCGGCATACTAAAAAAAACTGCAATGTTGATTCCAGCTTACCCCTACAAGAGATGCCACACTTTGGCAATTTCAGTACCCATCCCATCCCAGTTCCCACCCAGCAGCCACCCAATGTCCAACCTAACTACGAACAGGATGATTTTGGCTCAGTTGGCCCCACAAATACCCACAATTTTGAAACTCAGTTCCAGTCTATAACTGTTAAAATATCACGTGTAATCAAAGAGGCATTGCCTACAAAAAAGCAGTAAGAAAAAAAGCATAAAAAAGCAATGACAAAAATAACTTAAATTACTGAATTGTTTCTGAAGACTGGACAGTTCAAGATAGCAGTAATCACATTAACATTTCAGAGGTGTTCTACTATTCCACATTCTCCTAAAATGTTGCAGGAACCTACCAACCAAAATCAAATTTTGACATCTAGATGGCCACAACATAAAAAGTACCTACAGATTCGGCCATGTGCCTGAG